CTGGATCTGGAAGTCCCACAGGATCTTAGCTCTGGCGTTCTCCACCACCTTTGGGGGTGTTTCCCACTTTGATCTCGGGGTTTCCAGTCCATATTCTGCACAGATGTTTCTGTACACTATGCCTGCCACTTGGTTATGTCGCTCCATGTACGCTTTCCCTGCCAGTATCTTGCACCCTGCTGTGATGTGCTGGACTGTCTCAGGGCCTCCTTACACAACCTACACCTTGGGTCTTGTCTGGTGTGGTAGATCTGGGCCTCTATTGCTCTGGTGTTTAGGGCCTGTTCCTGGGCGGCCAGGATGAGGGCCTCTGTGCTGTCCTTGAGTCCAGCTTTTTCCAGCCATTGGTAGGATTTACTGATATCAGCCACTTGGGTTATTTGCTGGTGGTACATCCCATGTAGGGGCTATATATATATATACCTATATATATATAGGACATATATATATATATATGGACATACATATATATATATATATATATATATATATATATATATATATATATATATATATATATATATATATATATATATATATATATATATATATATATATATAGACAACGCTCCTGTGCAGATGGACTAAAACCTATGTGGTATCATCATTTTATATATTTTTAGGAGAGCTCCATTGTTACAGAATCTACAGGAAATATATTATGACACATTTAGTTTATTCTGGTAAGAAAATATTAATCTGTAGTTTTTCATGAAAGTCCATTGGGAGCTGCAGAAGAACCTAAATTCACAACTTAGAATGGCCTAGTTAAAGTCTATGACTAAAAGTTTGTGATGAAATGTTAAAATTGAACTTCACAGACTCTCTGTGCAGTTTTGCAGATCAGTCAACAGACCAATGAAGTTTATTTGTTTTTTAACGATAAACAGTCGCCAGTTAAGAAACCAGTAGAAATGTTGCCTCTGTCCTTAAAATGATCAATACATGTCAATATATTACTGGTCAACGCTCCGGTCAGTATCAATCAAAAACAACTTTAAAGGAAGTCGGTGTTCCAGCTGTTTTGCAGTTTTCTGGGAGTTTCGCTCTGAGCCAAACGTCACAGCAAATCTGTTGTTTCTTATCTGACATTTTTACAGTATTTGGATATTTCACATTTTTAATGTAGGCCTATCAGAAAGAAAAGTGACGTAAAAAGGGGGTAAAAAAGAAAAACTACCCATTTTTCAGGGATTCAGCTGATAAGAAAGTGAGGAAACAATTGCCCCAGCCGGGGCAGAAAATGAAACAAAGAGCAGAGGAAGCTTGTGTTTGTCCTGCTGATGTCACACGGCGGCTGCAGGCTGGACTTCCTGGTTTGATGCCCTGATTCATCCACTCCATGGAAAATTACAAAATTGGTTTGTTTCATAAGAATAATCAGAATCAGGAACATGAAGCTCTGATTTTAGCTTCTTATTGCTCCTTAAGTTACTATGTAACTAATATCATAAGTCAAAAACAGAAAAGAGAAAAAATACAACAAAAACTCAAGAATAAACTAGAATCTAAACATAAAGGAATGAACTTATATGGTAAAACCTTTAAAACAAGATTTAACTTTATACAGCAACACCTGTTTAGCAATAATAAGGAAAGTTAGCAGCTATATTTTTGTTTTTTTAGCTTATATTAACAGAGAAAAGAATAAACCTTCACTTTTGGTCATGTTGTTCATCTATAAATGGCCCAGATTCAAACTAAATTTTTAGTTTACAAAGTAAATATTTAGCTCCATGTCTAACTGTTAAATAATTTTGTTTACAAACTTTATATTTAGCTACAAGTTAGCTAACTAAAAATATTGAGCTTGCTAGCTACATACTTAGTTTATAAACTAAATATTTAGCTAAAAACTGGCTATTTAGTTTCTTAGCTAAGTATGTAGTTTGAAGTAAGATATACTGAATTATAACAAGTTATTTAGTTTGCAAGCTAACTATTTACCATCAACTGTAGCTTTAGTTATGAAGCTAAATACTAAATACTTGGCGTACAAACTAAACATTTATCTCCAAACTAGCTAACTATTTAACTTGCTAACTAAATATTAAACAGTGACATTTAATGAATGAATGTGTTGTCTAATATATGTGCTGCTGCGGCTAGCCGGACCGTCCCAGTGAATGAGAGCATGAGCTTCGGGTCTGGAGATCCATCTGTCCTATTTCAGGGAGGTCAGTCCAGTCTGACCTCACAGCACAAAGATGCTTCCTTTCCTGTCCAAAGCAGGAAGTTCGTCCCCGAAGGAGCAAAACTGAGAACAAAACAAACTATGAGCTAAATAAGGAGCTTATGCAGCCAATTCAGACATGCAGCTTAGAATGGAAATATAATGGCAGCTTGTCTGAACTGTCCTCATGATGAATGAATTAACGCTCCTCATGCTGTCACGATACTTTAAATAGACCGTTGGACCCCCTGAAGTTCTGTGAGAAATGTTGCCATGATGGGCGGAGCGTAAAGAACTGCGTCTCTTTGTCAAGGTGCGATGAACCCCTAACCCTAACTCTAACCCCAACATGAGAGGAGGAACAAGAAGCTCAGAGGGAGACCAGGGTACCACCACACCTCCACCGCTCTTTCTGCCCCTCTCTCTCTCTTTCTGCCCCTCTCCCTCTCTTTCTGCCCCTCTCCCTCTCTTTCTGCCCCTCTCTCTCTCTTTCTGCCTCTCTTTCTGCCCCCCTCTCTCTCTCTTCTGCCCCTCTCCCTCTCTTTCTTCCCCTCTCTCTCTTTCTGCCCCTCTCCCTCCCTCTCTTTCTACCCCTCTCTCTCTCTTTCTGCCCTCCCCCTCTTTTTCTTCCCCCCCTCTCTCTCTCTCACTCTCTCTTTCTGCACCTCTCTCTCTTTCTGCCCTCTCCCTCTCTTTCTGCCCCTCTCCCTCTCTTTCTGCCTCTCTTTCTGCCCCCCTCTCTCTCTTTTTCTGCCCCCCCTCTCTCTCTCACTCTCTCTTTCTGCACCTCTCTCTCTCTTTCTGCCCCTCTCCCTCCCTCTCTTTCTGCCCCTCTCCCTCTCTTTCTGCCCCTCTCCCTCTCTTTCTTCCCCTCTCTCTCTCTTTCTGCCCCCTCTCTCTCTTTTCTGCCCCTCTCTCTCTCTCTCTCTCTCTTTCTGCCCCTCTCTCTCGCTCCGCAAAATTAGAAAAAAAAAGTTTTTGTTATTCTGATTGGTCTAAAAGACATATTTTGACAATAAAGGTATTTTCCATTATTTATTTAGGTCAAAAATGCATTTTTATAAATAAAAAATACACATAATTATTAATTTGAACGGTGGGTATGTGCTGCCCTCTGTTGGCCACTGCAGTGAAGTACAGTCACCAGTATTTCAAAAGAAATACTAATTTAATTATCAGAAATAAATGTAAATGAGTCTGTTTCCCTAAATGTAGAACAAAATAATTGAAATAAAGGCAGAAATTAAGAGAAACATTTTGTCCAAATAACACCTGTCGTGACCTGCCTCCTTCCGCTAGATGGAGCTGTTTGGCAGGAAGGCTGTAAACAAAGGAACTGAGGAAATTACACAACAATTTATTAAGAATAAGTCATATTAATCACTGTTTCCATTAATTTACATATTTTTTAGGAATAAAACAAAAAAGCAGTTTGTACTTAATGCGCAGTGAGAGGTATTTCCTGCACTTTAAAAAAAAATTTCCAGCATTTTCTGCTAATAAGCCAAAAAGAAATCACAGCTGATATCTGTGACGCAACAACCTGCTTGTGACGCATTAATGTATCTACAAACACTTCATTGAATATTTATAACAACCAATATCTATTTATAACAACAGACTTCTGGTGTTGAAGTTTGTGCATGTGAGTCATGAATGACATCCTTCTGACGTCATGCTGTTGCTCTTCACATGTGGGAATGTTGCGCTTTCCGTCGGTTACATGTGAGTTTGGTGATTCTGGACACCAGAAACTTGAAACCAAACCAAGAACCGGGCTGCGGTGCTGCTGGTTCCGGACGTTACTCTGTTGTTGCAGCACATTGGGTCAGAAATGGATCAGAAATGGACGGTTATGTGACGGAGGGCTGGGCCGCCATGTTTCCACTCAGCCAACTCTATTTTCATTGCGCTCAAAGATGAGGCGCGGGTCAAGATGGTTCCCCTCCCAGCGCAAACAGAAAGCACAGTGTGAAAAGTCCCAAAACACATCAATCCTCAGTTTAAACATTTAAAAACAAAATAACATACATGTATTGGACCAACAGAAAGGAATGTGAATGTTTTAACCCCTAAAATAAAGTTTGCAGTGATTCTGCTTTAAACTCCGTAAAGAAGTAAAGAAAACTGATTCAAACTCATGTTTTTAAAATCAGCTTAATCATCATTAGCTGTAAAAAAACAAAACAAAAACAAAACAAAAAAAAACACTCCTCTCAGTAGTTTTAATGGTTTTTATTTTAAATGTTATCTTTCTTTCTCTGGCTGCATTAGCTAAAGCTAACATCATAAACAGAAGCTAACACAAAATCAAAACAGATTAGAACTTTAAAGTGAAATTAGCGCTTAGCTGCTAAAGTTACATTCAAAGAGTTAAAATAATTTGGCACACTTAAAAATACTACTGGATTTCAAATTTAATTTTCTCTCTGTTTTGCATAATAACGCCGGTGTGATGTAAGCTAATTACAAACAATGCTAATGACAGAAGGTATGCTATGGTTTGGAACTATAAAGCGTCTGGTCTATTAGCATGAGGGAAAATCAGCTTGAGGCCCCAGAAAGCTGATGAAACAAATTCCCCAGGAAAAACATGAAAATCTGGCAATATCTTATAAATATTCAAGACCTTTTAGAAAAACACACCGTCCCTGTTCTAAATAATAATAAAAAAGTCTTGAAAATATGACGCAAGTTTCAGCAGCAGGGAGTCAGGTGCTTAACCGGAAGTGAGCGCACAGGTTCCGCCCGGGGCCTTTTCCCGGCCCGGACCGGCCCTGCACACGAAGCGCCAGTGGAAGGAGGGTCACACTCTCGCTCCAGTCGCTGCTCTTTGGCGGACGACTCGCTGTGGATGACAACCGTCCAGATCGTCGCAGAACCAGCGGTGCTGCTCGGCTGGCCGGGGCTTCAACACAGCGGCGGGGCAGCGGAGCGAACCGAACCGAACCGAACCGGGGAGGGGAAGGATTTACTGACACAGGCCGAGCATGGCGACCCAAAGCACCGCATCCTGCACTGGATCCACCCTGCTGCAGCCAATCAGCGAAATCATAGACCTCCCACTCGACCAGGTAGAGTCCAGATTCAGGCTTTTTATAGAGACCGAGGCGTGACGTGATTTTCCAAGCGACATGTTATTGTGACAGCTGATGCGCAGCGACGCGCTGCTGCTGCTGCTGCTGATGATGATGATGATCTGCTGTCATCACCTCAACGTCCACTGGACCCTCACTGGGCCACCAGGGAAACTGGTGATCACTGTTAACATTCAGCCAAACATCCTGGTCCAGGATCCAGGAGACACAATGGCTGCTGTTCACTGCTGAGCAGCAGAGGAGGTCCAAACAGCTGACAAGCTGGGTCTGGTTCTGATTAACCCGGTTCTGAATATACAACCTGATCCAGTACCAACAACCCGCAGCGTTTTAAAGTTTTATTCAACCAAAAACAGGCAAATATCAATAACCAAAGTATAAAAGTGTTTTTAATTGATTATTTCAATTATCAGGTGTTTAAATCCAGTGGAGGGGAAAGTAACTTCACTAACACATGAATGCTACCAAACCTGTAGAATCAGGAAACGTTACAACCAGTCGGCCCACATGAAGCACTGTGTCTGCTAAAGCATCCAACCTGAAACAAACTGCAGTGTTCAGCAGAGCACGGTGGAGGCAGCATGATGATCTGGGGCTGCTGAGAAGAAGGAATCAGGAACCAGGCGATATCACCTGAATGGCTCCACAGAAACAAAATAAAGGCCTTGGAGTGGCCTAGTCAAAGTCTGGACCTGAATCTGATTAAGAAGCAACATAACTAACAGTTATTTTAGTAATTGATTAATCCATTATTCTAACGATGAATCTATCAATCTCATGCAGAATTGGCACGTTCTACAGATTTTTCATTCAACAGTTTTTTAAACAATTTTAGAAAACATTAAAAGATGCAGCTAAACAAATAATTTCTGTTTTTAAAACAAGAAAATAAACATTTCATTGCCTAAAATCAGAGACAGTTTTGCTTTAGTGAATTTGAATCAGGTGAAGATAAAACTGCCTCATCTGTGCTCTGAAACTTGTTTCTGTCTCAAATACAGATATTTTTCTACAGTTTTGACCTCATTTCCACTCTGAACATGTCGGGTTTTCAGCCACTGCCCTCGTTCTGATTCAGTTAACAATTAATGAACCACTAAATTAGACGATTATTTCAATAATCGATGCGGTTAATCCGATTAATCGTTTCAGCCCTAGTTTGACTTTCGCTGTAACAAAAAAGAAAATAACTGGAGGAAAAACTTTTTCCCATCACCATGTCTTCAGTTTTTCTCAGTCTAAATGAACTGATGAGGCATAACATTATGACCAGCAATACTGTGATATGTTGACTTTCTCTCAGGAAGCACATGGTGACAGTAGAGAGAAGTAACTCCGTCTTAGCAGAAAAAAAAGCCTCTGTTGTTTCTCAGCTTCCTGTTTGTTAAAATCAGTTCATTTTTTGGATTTGTCTGAGAATCGGTGCAGCAGCCACGCCTGGAGGAGGCGGACATGTTTAAACCCAGATCCAGTCCGGCTAAGCAAACATTTTATCAGCAGCGTTGCGAGTGTGGGTGTGACTCTGGGATCCAGAGAGTTTATCACTGGGTTATTAAACGTGTGTTTGCCGGATTCTGTCAGTTCATGTCAGCCGATCAGAGGCTGCCGCCGATTCAGACCCAGAGCAAACATGTTGAACCAGAACGCTCCGTTCTTCTTCTCCTGTCGGCCTCCATGGCTGCATTTTGATCCCAGAACAAACTGGATGACGTAACTTAAAGCTTCGAGAGAGAAAACTTTCCTGCTTTATCAGTTGGTCTCTTCCAAACGTTTCCATTTGTCGGTTTGAGTTACGTGGGCGAGGAAGTTCATAAACCGGTTTAAATCATGTTTTCATATGCCACTTATTTTACTATCAGAAATAAAGATTGAAATATGGAGTGTCATACTAACTTAAAGTTTGTTTTTTGGCAAAAACAAATCTGAAAAGTGTGGTGTGCATTTTTGTTTCGGGTTTTTGACTCATGGAGGCTGAATATGCAGAAGTTTTCAGTTTTTATGTCTAAAAAGATTCAGAAAAACACAAATAATTTTTCTTACTGGTCACAAATAAAAGCATTAAAATGTTAAATGGGCTCTGTATGGAAGCATATTCCTGCCATGAAAGAAAATAATTTAAACCCAACAGGAAATCATTATTACACGTTATAAAGTTAGAATTACAAGAATGAAAGTCATTTTATTTTTAATGTCATAATTATGAAATTTATTCATGATATTGGGATATTATAATTTATTTACTTTTTATGTCATAATTATGAGATTTGACATCATAATCATAACTCTTAATCTCATAACTAAATGAAAACCTGACAGAAAATTATAATTATGACAACAGAAATCAGTACAAACACACAGGCTACATGTCTCAGTTAGCAATAATGTGCTGCAATGTAATTTTATTGTTTATAAGTTTAATTTGGAATGAGGCTAAAGCTATTTCTAAACTTGTGGTTTGTTCATTGTTGTTATAGCAACTCCATAGCAACTGCTGGCCAAAATGGCCGTCATTTACAAAGTTCCTGGACGTTTGACCCAACATGAGAACTCAGTATTGGACTGGCTGGATTAAAATCTGGCTTCTCTTTTTACCTTAATAATCCCGGGCTAGCTTTGCTACAGGTTAGCATCTCTCTGTTAGCATTTCAGTTAGTGTCTCTCAGTTACTGTCTCTCAGCTAGCGTCTCTCAGCTAGCGTCTCTCAGTTAGTGTCTCTCAGTTAGTGTCTCTCAGCTAGCGTCTCTCAGCTAGCGTCTCTCAGCTAGTGTCTCTCAGTTAGTGTCTCTCAGTTAGCGTCTCCTTTCCAGCTCCCTGGTCTGCTGAGAGTCTCTCCCCTTTGTCTTCAATTTGCTGTCCTCTGGAGAGTTTTATTGGCCAATTGATTTCCATTCTTCAGTTCTGTGTAATGGAGTGCTGCTGGCTGTTACCTTTATTAAGGTTCAGAGTCAACAAGATGAGCGTGTGTGATTCCTCCTGGGAGGAAGAGATTAGTTAGCTCAGGTGCTAAAATCACTCAGGAACATGTTGTAGGTCTTCATACACTCGACTTTTATGAGGAAATGTTTCGTCATCTAAATGTGAATTATGGTTCCGATACCAGGAACAACTGCCTCACGTAGCGGCTCAAGCTGTATTGGTTTGATGAGGCTCATCACACCGGATTGGTGTACATAAATTTAACGTGTGAGCTCTTATGTCCTCTGTTTAATTGTTCCAGGAATCGCAGAAAGTTTTAATCTTTTTTATTGTGCTGATTCTGCTTTCGTGAGGCAGAACCTTAGCAGAACGACCGTTAGCCCTGGCTGTCAGATCCATCAGTCTGGAAATGGCTGATGGATCCGTTTGATAAAATCAGGCAGCCGTGAACACTGCTAGCTAAAAAGTTAGCTGTGCTAAACATAAAACACTTACCATTAGTTCTGCTAATGCTAAAGTGCTATACCAACTTGTTATTTAGTGGAAGCTAATGCTAAAGTGCCATACCAACATGTTATTTAGTGGAAGCTAATGCTAAAGTGCCATACCAACATGTTATTTAGTGGAAGCTAATGCTAAAGCGCTATACCAACATGTTATTTAGTGGAAGCTAATGCTAAAGCGCTATACCAACATGTTATTCAGTGGAAGCTAATGCTAAAGCGCTATACCAACATGTTATTTAGTGGAAGTTAATGCTAAAGCGCTATCCCAACATGTTATTTAGTGTTATACCAAGTACGTGCTGAACCTTTGTTTTATATTTCTGCATATAAACCCAGTTTTAATGTTCCTGGTGGGTTTCTGTGCAGCAGTGTTTCTGCCCTCATCAGCAGAGAAGCAGTTAGTGTCTGATCAACAAGCAGACAGTAACTGATCAACAAGCAGACAGTAACTGATCAACAAGCAGACAGTAACTGATCAACAAGCAGACAGTAACTGATCAACAAGCAGACAGTAACTGATCAACAACCAGACAGTAACTGATCAACAACCAGACAGTAACTGATCAACAACCAGACAGTAACTGATCAACAACCAGACAGTAACTGATCAACAACCAGACAGTAACTGATCAACAACCAGACAGTAACTGATCAACAACCAGACAGTAACTGATCAACAACCAGACAGTAACTGATCAACAACCAGACAGTAACTGATCAACAAGCAGACAGTAACTGATCAACAAGCAGACAGTAACTGATCAACAACCTGACAGTAACTGATCAACAAGCAGACAGTAACTGATCAACAAGCAGACAGTAACTGATCAACAACCAGACAGTAACTGATCAACAAGCAGACAGTAACTGATCAACAACCTGACAGTAACTGATCAACAAGCAGACAGTAACTGATCAACAAGCAGACAGTAACTGATCAACAAGCAGACAGTAACTGATCAACAAGCAGACAGTAACTGATCAACAAGCAGACAGTAACTGATCAACAACCTGACAGTAACTGATCAACAAGCAGACAGTAACTGATCAACAAGCAGACAGTAACTGATCAACAAGCAGACAGTAACTGATCAACAAGCAGACACAAACTTGTTGAGCTTCTTTTGACGTTGCATCTGGTGCAGAGCTGCAGTAGACATGCATGTTGGCAAATTTGTGGTTGCAAACCTGACGCAATCAACCCAGACGTGAAAGTGCACAGCTTTGAATTTCCTGGTGGTTTTCAAATGATGCTGATTGATTCTATGAATAAACGCCAGCCGGCTCTTCTGCGGTTCCAAGACAACCATCTTCATAACATGATGCTGCCACTTTGGTTGGGCACCAGTAACCTTAAGATCCCATAAGGAAACCAAAGGTTTGAGGCTGTGATGTCAAAAAGTTTAAGTTGTATCAATGTTTTTGCAGAGGTTGTAAATAAGTAATTTCACTCCATTCAGAGTAAATTATTGATGAGGAGCAATCGGACGTTCAGATTACATAATTTACACATCAAGCAGTACATCCTAAGTCCAACAGAATAAACTTTCATAA